GTGAGTGAACCGGCCATCCCTATATGGGATCCGAACCCGTGGCCTTGGTGTTATCAGCACCGCACTCTCCCTAGTGAGCCACGGGCCGGCCCCTCATGACAGCTTTTAACAGCCAAAAACCGGAAACAACTCAGTCAACCTTCAACAGGTGAATGGTGGAAGAGGCTATAGGTACAGCCATGTCAACCAATACTACTCAGCAATAAAAAGGAATTAACTATGGTTACATTCAACAATCTGGATAGATCTCCAGAGAATTATGCTGAATGAAAAAAGCCAATCCCCAAAAAGTTGTATACTATATGATTTTATATAGCATAGTCTTGAACTGACAAAATTATAAAAATGTTGAACATATTTGTGGTGGCCAAGAGGGGGTGTGGGCAGGGGAGCTCGCATGGCTATAAGAGAGCAACATGAGGGATGCTTATGGTGATGGAAATGTTTGTATCTTGACTATATCAATGTCAATATCCTGGTTATGAAATCATTCTATAGTTTTGTAAGATGTTACCATTGGGGTAAACTGGGTAATGGGTACATAGGATCTCTCTGTATTATCTCTTACAATTGCATGTGAATCTACAATTATCTCAAAATAAAAAGTTTAATTTAAAATGCACACAAAGGGGCCAGCCTGTGGCTCACTCGGGGGAGTGTGGTGCTGATAACACCAAGGCCACAGGTTCGGATCCCATATAGGGATGGCCGGTTCGCTCACTGGGTGAGCATGGTGCTGACAACACCAAGTCAAGGGTTAAGATGCCCTTACCAGTCATCTTTTAAAAAATAAATAAATAAAATAAAATGCACACAAAAACGTGTATATAGGGGCACCCATTTTTTTGTTTGCCTCAGACTTCGAAATGGCTCTGAACTTAACAGGCATTCCATCTTAAGTTCGTCTCCTTGACCTGCCCAATACAGAATCGGGGTAAATGGTCTGAGTGCAGCATAGATCATCTGAAGGCAGAACTCTCCTGGAAACTCTGGGCCCTGAATACTGTCAGCCTTCCAACTCCTCCTTTGCTACCCAGTGCTCTGTTGTTCCGGCTCTGGCCCCCATTAAGCTGACGCAAAGGCCCATGGCTCACTCTCTCTAGGTAGTGCATCTCTAAGAGTGGTCCCAGGATTGCATGTGTCACAATCACTCAGGATGTTTGTCTCTATGCACATTCCTAGGCCCAAAGGGCTAGAATTTTAACTAGCTCCTTAAGGGAATTCTAATATATGCTTAAGTTTGAGAAACAACAGGGCTCAACTTTGTCTGTAGTCAAGATTTTCTGGAAAGGCACAATGATTTCCCACACTGGGATGTTCTCTGAAAGGACTTTCTGAAAGGGAAGAGACTGCGTGGGGACCCCATGCCAGCCCTGGGTCCTGCTCCAACGAGGACACAATCCCCCCCCCCCCCGCTTTCC